TTGAACTGTAAAATTTTATTTTGAACCTGCTCAAACAAAATTACAATTTCATGCTATCAAATTATATTTCATGGTCCCTTTTGATGATTCATTGTGTACTCAGTATAAAATTAAGATATTATTTTATAAACAATGACACTATTTGTAACATAACACAGCATTCAATCACTAATTTAATATAAAAAAAAACTTATAAAAAACTAAAATTAATTAATACTTAAATTTTGAATTCCATAACATTGATTCAACTTATAAACATTTATTAAATATTTTTTTTATTTCATTTCTATTAGGAATGTCTTCAATCCAATGTTAATAAACTAGAAAGTCTAGAAACTCACATAGTTCATACCTAAAAATATTTTTCTACACTCATTATCAAATATGATTTGTATAATATTGTACAGTAATCATTGGTCTTACAGTTGCCAGAAAATAAGTTTTTTTTAAAATGCCAACATATCTTATGGCTGGCCATGGGCCATACAATTTTGCTACTAGTTGTATTTTACTCTAGAACTAGGATTCATATTGGCAGAATTGATTGTCGTGGTCGCTCAGAGATCCAGGTCGGCTCGTCATTGCCGCGAGTGTAATATTTCGAGTGTGGCGACCCTGACAACGCGCGCACTAGTTTGCGGAGGCACTGAGAGGACGGATCAATTTAACTGTACAGGTACTGTACGTCGAACCCTTTTAGGGCACCGTAGTAGGAACACATATTCTACGTATAGCGCACAAAGTAGGCTCGTTAAATTCTTTCTGGCGACTTAACTATATCTTCTATATACTAATAGTACAGCTCTCTCCAATGCCTCCGCATCCAGTGACAATGTCCACACATTTGAGAGCATACAACGTCATATGAACTCCAACAGCGTGGGACCGTCTGCTACTCGATGCCGTGCGCGAAAATCATGACGAGGCCGGGCTCCACCATCATGTGCTCGTCCACGTGCGTGTTGTCACAGTGTAGTACGAGCACTGCTTGCTTCCCGGGCACTCTTTTACAAACATATTTTTCATATAACCTGTGGATAAGAAATTGATTTTGTTTAGTTCACTGAAATTCAGACAAGTGCATAGAATGGGTGAAGTCGTCGTTGATATGCTGGAAAACAGCAATTACTATTAAGTACTAGAGCAATAATAATTATGGTATTACAGTTTTTACTACAACATTAATGCATTTGCAATTGGTTATAAATTTAAAAATTAAACCATTACTGATGCAACAGGAAATTGAAAATGTATTAGTTTTCCTATTGGATTTCCAAAATAGAACAATTAGAAACATTGTTTCAGTGTTATCATATTTCACCAAATAAGTTAGGGCAAATGGTAGTCTCAACTACTGTTTATATTTATGCAAAATACTGACTGAAAAACTAGTGATCATTTAAACCAAGTTGCAAAAAGTCTAGGGTAAAGAAAAATAGTGTTGAGTAAGTTACCTCCTATTATTTTGTCTGGTTTCAAGTGATGAGAGGCCCGGAGGCCACCGTCGTTCGTGGCAATTTTCCATTAAGTCGTCTATTATGTGAGGGGGGCAGCCAGACTCTGATAAACTTCGTTTGATCATCATCTGAAATATAAATTCATAATTTTGTTAATTTCATAAAATTACTTCTGTTATTCCCATTGTATAATAGAATATAGTTTGTGACCATAGTTTTTAATATTTTCCATATTAAGTGGGTGCTTTATGCTTTTAATTAATGTATGAACTCCAGTTGAGCCAATTGGATCACATAAACTTAAAATCAGTTAGTATTAAAAATTAACATCAAATATTAATATCTCACCTGTAGGACGTCATCAGGGGTGGATATCATTCCGCCCCAGCGCGTGACTCTCGCGCGCGACAGTGAGTTCGCCCAGCGCACCACTTCCTCTCGCTCCATCTGGTCGGCAAGCGCTCGCATTGATGGGTTTGACAGGCGCATCGCTCGCATAAATTCCTAATACAATAGATAACAAAAATTACATAATATGACAAAAACTTTTTTAATGTATTTGCAACTATACTGCAACAGCATAAGGTTGAAAATCTAATGAAGAAAACAGGAATGTTTAACATAGTGTATTGTTTAAAGATACATAGCTTGATTTCATGTATTATCAATAATAAATTAGATTTTATACTACATCCTACAAAAAATTAAAGATTTCATGATAATACTTGCATTCAATAAATAATTTTATTCATAGTTCATGAATAAAATACCTATTTTATATAATCACTTAGGAAAGTACAGCCACGAAATCTATGCTACTACTACTTAAACTGTCAAACACGAGTTAACACGTCGAGTACCGGTTTTGCAGACACAATTATAGAACAATAGGTTGCGGTCACCGGTGACCGCTTGGTGTTTGACAGTTTAAATTGCAAAGAATACGATGAAACTTTAGCAGACTTTTTAGAAATTAGAGCTCAGCACTAACAATATGAGAATGCACATACAGTTATTTGTTTTAGAAAAAAAAGTAAACAACTACACAAACATAAAATTTTTCTAGAAAAAATAGTTACTATGCTATTCATTGCTATGTTATTCACAGGTGACTTGTCTTGAACATATTTTTAAAAGAAAATAATTAAATAAACAGCTACCACTGATTTCAATTTTGAGGTGTATGTTTATTAGAATATGCAAACAATGGTGTTCTCAATAACATTATTATTGCTATAGAATTCTTATATAAAACTATAAGTTAAAAAAAATCAATATCTTATTTGTACACAAGATAATTACCTTTTATATGGGAAACTTTTTCATTGTTTGATAAACAGTTAAATCATCATAGCACATTATACAAAAAACCATCAAAATTGGTCCAGCAATTTAGGAGTCAATAAGTAGTTATGACTTATTAGGATGTTAATATTGAAACAAAATCACTTACTTTTAATAATGCCAGTTCCCGTTTATGTTCATTTATGACGAGTCTTTGTTCCGCTAATTCCTGTTCATAGTCATTTAATTTTCCTTGGTGCGTTGCAATAAGGGCCCGTAGTTCACGGACACAATTATGTTCAGCCAGTTCATCTTTCGGTATCACAAGTCCACATCCTGCTTCGCATGGCATTGGCCTTTTGGGATTGTATTCACCTATTAAAAGTATTGTCGTTAGAAATATATTTATGTACATTGTTAAATTAATGTTACGTCTTATCTTATCAACAATCATAATGGAAGTTTAGACTCTAATGATTAGATCAAAAATCATATAAACTTTGAAGATTTTAGAAATAACCCATTAACTAAATAAATACATTAGTACTGTTGATTCTTTGGTTTCCAGTAAATGCTTTTAACAGTAGGTTACATACTAGCATCACACACAATCCAATAAGAGAAAACATTATCTGAGGCCTTAGGATAAGCTTGCTTTAAGTTAAAAATAATCGGTATAAGACCATGTTCTGCACTTTGATTAGTTGTTTTATTAATTCAGAGCACTGTACCATACTGTATGTTTCAATTACATTTAACATAAAACAAACTTGTATTAGCCTCAATATGAGGCCTCTCTGTATGTTGGTTTTAAGTACAAAAGTAAATATATTAAATACATACATTCAACTAAATGGGATGCAAGTGAATCCAGTTTCAATACAGCATTACACCCATGTGGTGCGTTGTCACAGCTTGTACACAATCTATAAGAAAAACATATAACATTTATGTATTTCATTCATAATAATGCTATTATGTTTCACTTCTATATATTGATGATTCAGGTGTTAGGAATACTTTATGAATGTTACCTAGAAACACTCAGTGCTTGATTAGTTCCAGTAACATTTGAAACTCTATGATCCAATCAATTTAACAGTATCTATAATCTCACTATTACAACACATTTACTATTAAGCTCACTATATGTTTTATTATATAAGCCCTTGCAAAACAATCAAAAATGTTTGACCTACAAACCAATAAGAATCCATGACATTCTTGTGAAATAATCACCTTGATAATAAATTACGTAGTATTCTGGGAACTGGTCTGAGCTGGCTCGCGGTGACTGCCTGTCGGTCCACGGGGCAGGTGGGCTGGCGACTGATCCACTCAGTTATACAGGCACGACAAAACGCGTGCTCGCAAGCAGGAGCCTGCACCCACAAAAAACATACTTTTACACACATGTTATTACTTCCACAACTAATCCAATTAAAAAACTGAGACAAACCTGAAGTGGATCCTCTAGAACCCCTGAGCAAATAGGACAAATAAGTTCTTCATCAACGTCACCTTGAAATCTTTTGATTTCAAATCCCATGTTTGTTATTTTCACACAGGATTGACAAACATCAGTCCGGTGTGTTCTTGCGTGGAATTTTGACTATTTATAAAACTGCTATTGAAGGAAATGCCAATAACAAATAATAAAATCAGCACAGTTTGCTTTGCTTTCCTTCTAAAATGACTTTTTAACAATGCCCCCCACAGATTGTAACACTTCGCGCTAGTATCATTGACAAAAACATTTTGATTAATGTCATAATAGTACTGTCAAAATTTAGTCGATCGATAGTAACCCTGATAAAAATCATCGACATTAACTAATTTCAGACATCGCACCTCTAAGAAAAATTTGCGTAGTTAACTTTACTCTATGGCTTTTCAGTGTTGTCATGACTCAAAACAAAATTACATTGCAATGGTTTTCTTGTAAGATTTTAAAATAACTTTTAAGATTTAACATTGATTATGTTATTCTTTCGGTAATATTTTATAGTCCTCTACAAAATTTAAATGTATGCATTTGTATTTAATCAACTCTTTTTCACAATTACTAGAAAATATTTTAACAAAAAAAGAAATATAAAACTGATTTGAGTTGGCAACATTGCAAATGTCCTGCCATTTGCCAACAAATCTGCCTATTCTTTTTTTCTGCCATTGTAAAATGGATCTGGGCAAAGGGTGCTGATAAAACACAGTTTTTTTCTTCATTTATATAGAAAACCTACATAATTAGATTCCAAAATGAGCGTCTTTAAATCAGCCATGGGCTATTTTAGCTCAGGAGGCGCTAACGGTGGCAGTGATAATGATTTTGTTGGTCAGTTTGTTGAAATAGGAAATATGAAATTAAGAGTGAAGAAGGTGATTGCAGAAGGTAAGTCAATATCTTATTCTTAGTTTTTTGTTCACGTTCCTCTCGGATAACTCATTAACATAAGATCAGTGAAGTTCTATTGTGCGTAGGTTGAGGTCTTGGTGCAGTACACGTACTAACGTCATAGAAATTGGGGGCGTTTAGGGGTACGTTGTTCGACAAATGTTTGGGGTCGATGAGATGGAACATATCCGATAAGAAATTGCTTTAATTCCGTCATAATGAGGTCACCGAACCTTTTTATTTCAGTGTGTTGTGAGAAATCGAAAAATCGTCATTATAAATAATAATAAGGTTTATTGTATATATGAAAATTACAATACTAAGATTATTGTTCTCAGCAGCCTCTATAAGGTCACATAAATAAGCTCTGATTCATATTACTCACGGTAAATGAATAAATTGATTGGTTTATCAGTATGAATCAAGCAGATATGAATCTGACACATATTGTACTATACCAGAAGTACTACAACAGCTTGGTTGAAGAAACTTACCATATTTCTGGCTGTTCACACTTTACGGATATTTCTTATTATCTTGTAGTTCTACATTTACCTGCTGCATTCATTTGTAACATGGGATTTACCAGTATGTTATTAAATTCCCATATTTATTAAATTCATGGTGCAATATTTGATATGATTGCTTACTTATTTATTTTATTAATTGAAATTATGGTTGTAGGACAACCAACCTATAGGTCTTACATTCAATTCCTGTAGAATAGTGTTCATATTTAATTTTATACAATAGACTTACCATCTGAAGAATCTATGCTAATATTTACATCTGGTATAAGTGGGTGTGTGTGCTAAGTGCTTATAATGCAGTTCTGTTTCTTTTTTGAGCAATAATTTTAAGTTTTTTTTTCAATGAAAGTCAATAATTCGGTGGCATCACTTTTATTATTTTTTAATTCTTCAATGAACAGCAATCCAGGAAACTATTTTTGTAAAATTTCATTTATACCTACAGGAGGAAGTACTTTACAGGAAATTAATATAAAATGTAAATAATTGGTCCAGTAACAATGTTCCTACTATGTTCTTTCTATTGCAGGTGGTTTTGCTTTTGTGTTTGTTGCTCAAGATGTATCCAGTGGTACTGAATATGCCTTGAAAAGGCTAATGGCAGCTGATGAGCAAGCAAATAAAAACATAATTCAAGAAATTAGCATATTAAAAAAGTTATCAGGTCACCCTAATATTATAAAATACATAGCAGCATCATTTATTGATAAGTCAAAGACATCACATGGGATGGGAGAGTATTTATTGCTGACGGACTTGTGCAGTGGAGGAAGCTTGATGGAGGCCCTTCAGAACAGAGGCCAGGCCTTTCCTCTTCCCACCATACTCAGGGTGTTCTACCAAACCTGTCGGGCTGTGCAACATATGCATGCACAGGTGCCCCCAATCGCACATCGTGATCTCAAACTAGAAAATTTCTTAATTTCTAATGAAGGTAACATTTAATGCCGGTCTTACATAATAATGCATACTTTGAGTATATGTAACAGCTGCAATTTTGACCCAAATGTTTGTAATTTCTTATAGGTACAATAAAGCTGTGTGATTTTGGATCAGCCACTACAGATATTTATACACCAAACCCCTCTTGGAGCGCAAATCAGAGAAATATGTTAGAAGAAACCGTAAGTTATTCTTAAATGTTCAGATGTTTAAATTGTTTTGTTACTTTTTGGTCCTATACTCACATATTCCTTGTTTCCAGCTGGCCCAATTTACTACTCCTATGTATAGAGCACCAGAAATGTTAGATACTTGGGACAATCGCAAAATCGATCACAGTGTTGATGTCTGGGCCCTAGGATGCATACTCTATACACTATGCTACATGCAACATCCATTTGAGGACTCGGCTAAACTGGCTATCCTAAATGGAAACTATAATCTTAACCCCAATGATCAACGCTACAAATGTTTTCATGAAGTCATAAGTGAGTATATTACCTTTTTTGAGCAATGTGTTGTGTTGTGAATGTAAATATGTGATTGTGATGTGTTTGTTCCCAGGTGGTTGCCTAACAGTGAACCCTGAAGAGCGCTTGACAATAAGTAGTGTGCTGGAGCGATTGGCGGCGATAGCGGAGTCCAATAATGTCAATCTCAAGCAACCACTCAAATTTGAGCGTAAAAAAGTTGAACAATCTGTGGCCACTAGCTCGCCAGGTAATAAGAAGTCAAGTAAATATTACACTACCATATCCTAAGAGAAATGTCGCGGCGCGGCACGTTCAACATTTTGTGATAAATTAAAACAATCGCCTAAACGTTTACATTGAGTTGCGAGCGCGCGTATCACTTATCCATACCCTACGGACCATCGTTCTGTTCTGTTGCATTAAATACTCGAGCTAAAAATGGTCAAGTATTTTTTGACTTTTTACACTCAAATTTTTTTTTTCCATATATTTATTTTGAGTTCCTTAGAAAGGTTATTATATGAAATGTGAGATTTATTTACATTCCAATGTTGATTATCACCAAAAATTGAACATCACCAAAGGTAAGGCAATGTTGAATAAATTGTTCTCTGAATGAAATAAGGTAGTATAGCATTTATTTGACTTGATTCAAAATTGATTATTTATGTTGCTTCAATGCTGAAATGCGTTAATATGACTTTCATGAAGTTGGATTTACTGTTTCCAAGCATTTTTTTGTATGGAAGAGGCTCAGACTGCATTTACATAGTGCAATATTAGCCATGATGTTTTATAAACAGTGAAAGTTAATAAGCTTTAATTTGATATTTAAGTCTGATTATGAAAGAAGACTTGAGAGATATCCCAGATAGTAATAGAAAGGTCACTAGAATAATCAACTACATTGAGTCCACTTGTCGCAAACTCTTCTAACATTCTTCTTGAATAATTTTATTACCAAAAAGTCAGTGTGCATTTATGAAATGCATACCATTATAACTAGATAGGGTACTTGTCGCTAGTTAGTCTATACTATATTTAGGTATAATTATTATTGTCTATACATTCCTGTAACTTTATTGGGCTATATATACAATTTCACACCAATGTCTAAACCCCTTACTATATAGGTATATTATTTTTCTATATAGTCTAATATTTAATAGTAAATATGAAATATATCCAGTAGAATAGACGAATGTACAGTGGTACTAAACCTGGATACGACTAGTATGACATATATTATATATTGGCTTATAATAACACGTCGAGTACATAGTATATATGTGAACTAACATGGTTGCGGGAGCGCCGCGTCTCATCGTGTTTGGCATTTAACGGTATCGGTGGCTTGGTGAACTCGGCACCTTCGCGCACTTGTCACGTAGAATATATTTTTGGCTCTTATATTTTAAGTTATTTGTGTGTATATAACTAGTCTATTATTTAGATCGGTGTATTCTATTACACTGCTTGTTATCACATATTATTATGAATATTGTGTTGATGCAATCAAACACTATGATTAAAATCATGGATCAGTCCAAACTTTCCAGACAATATGAGGAAATGATATGTTAAACTGAGGTACAAGTATTGAATTAGAGTAGATTTATATGATATTATAGATAGATTACATGATGTTTAACGTTCATACTTATGTCATTAGTGGATGTCACCAGAGTTGGTGTTTCTATGAACACTATGTCTTAACATTTATGTCATTGAATCATTATTTCTGTTGTGCATATTATTATTTAGTCATGTGGGAGCTTAATATAGATAAATAAATGAGTATATTCTTCACAGCCGTCGTTTGATTTTATTTCTAACGCATTTTGAGTGGCACAGATGTCGAAAGTGAGATCTGTCTGGGTGCTCCGTGTGGACAAACGTGGGTATAATGTGTTTGTAACATGCTCTGTGTTACTGATCAGATTCACGTTCGCTTTCTACTAACATGATGGTACGCACTGTAGTCTGGTTGCACAATAGTAGGCACCGTTGTACAAATTAACCAACTAACATGCATTCATTCGTTTTTTTTCTAATTAACACTTAATTATGTCGTCTAATACTAGTTTCACTAGGGTATTGATAGATTAGATGCTTAAGTTCTCTGTCGTAGGCTAGAAGTCTGATTCACTTCCAGAAGTAGTGATTGTGCTTCTTAGATGGATGTTTACTCGCATCCATCGCAGTTCCCTAACAACATAGGTCATTAGCCATTAGAAACGAATGCCTGAGACCTTACTGAGTATAGAACAAACAATATAATAGGTAGCACCAAAACGATTATAATTTGCGTGATAACTGACCATTAAAACGTCAGTTAATGAAGCGCTATATTTCAGCTCAATTACACACAATTGATTTCTATAATTAGAACAAAGGTACGCACTTACATACACACTTTAAATATCAAAATCCCGTGTTTTTTTATAATTCCATAATTATAAAAAAACACGGGATTTTGATCTCTAACATTATAACTCGCTACTGATTGACTGCCTTATCACATTTTCCAATAAAATATTATAGTTTAGTAATATTATCTGTATTATATTTATGCTGAAACTCGATAATGCGTAGGAGTGCCGCAATTGATCGCAGAGCGTAGGATTTACCCGCCCACTTGGGTCATAAGGTGCAGGACGGGAGTCGTAACGTGCTGAGAAATTTAATAATATGTCGTTATATGGCTTCATATTATACATACACTTCTTTGATGGTTTCGCCATTTTAATATTAATAACCATTTTTCAGTATCCATTGGACGGTTCTTTTAATAGGCTTTTAGTATTCTAATCATGTTAATTTAAAGTCACGATTTTGATCCACTTTCCTGCTACTGAATATTATTTTAATTTTATTCTTATTATTGAATTTATAAATAATTATACTAATAGGTACAAATTAATTAGCATTATAATAAAATTTTATTTCTTAATAATTATTTTATCCTTCATTTCTTATTCTTATAATGTCTTCTTCATTGAACCGCTATAAAACTACTTATTCCTCAATTATGACTGTTACAAATACCTTTATCTTATCTTGAAAGAATCGTACTATTTAGATATATGAACTATTTAGGCTTAACAGAATGCGATATGTCCTACCTTTAACTAATATGTCGAGGCATGAATAGGAGACACTTAAACTTATTTATTTTTGTTTAAATTTATGAATGGAATTTGCCATGCATGTTAGCCTTGAACGAGGAATCAGTGCTTATATTTTATTTCTTTTGAATGGTCATAACACATTGCATGTACCTGTTCGTAGCATCAGAAGTCCCGCGCCTCGGCTTGCTAAAATAAAAACTATTTTTCCTACTGAGTGAACGCGTTGCGTCGCGCTAGCCGGTCTTCTAATAAATATAAGTGCTAGATAAACGTAGTAATAAACTCGACTGTGTTGAGTATTTACGTCCAATCTGTCGATTAAATGATTTTATCTGATATAACGCTCGCTAGTGGAACTATTTGAAGCGAATCTCAAGCTGTAGTTGTAAGTGTGACGAGGCTCGGGACTTCTGCCTTGTAGAATAATGTGTATGCAATACATATCATGTTTTCTTTTTCATTTTAGGTGTTTTCAACTTTTTCGGATGCCCAATAGTTTTCTCGTTTAAATGACCCGCTGCGCTAGCATGAACCCTTGCATCGGACACCCATCACACATTGACGCTTGCTAGAACCATTGGATATGCTCGCAATGATGAGTATTCATTGTTTTATTTATTAATGTTTAACTACTTATTATTAATAATGTTGTTATTGCCTTTAGAGTAATTTATAAACCACTCGCTGGTTGGTTGTGTTTGGCTGAGACGTACCAATTTGTTTTTTAATTATTATTTTTAAATTTAATTGTTTTTTGAAGATGATTGTACCTTATTTTTGAATGGCAATGGCAGTTGCTTTTGTGATCAGTATTCTCTGTCTGCCAAACATGTTTGTATAGAGCGGTGAACTCTGTACAGGTATAACGATGACAATAATATTACAATTCTCTTGGTATATAAATAATCCCAAGGCTCTAGACAGCGTAGGTCCGTCCTCTACTTAGATTTTAGTATAGCTCTTACTACTTTCAATACCCAATTGTTTGTCTTATAATAGACATTATATTCGACTTATGATAATAATTCTTGCTTCACTACTGTAAGTAAATATTCCAATTATATCTCAACATTCCATGAAAAGGTACAAAAGTGGAGTCGTCGGTCGATAGTATTATATGTTACCATAATTGTTATGTAATTACGAGTTTAAGGTTTCTGTTATATTATATACACCTAGTACCTATTTACAACTGCTCGGTACTCTTAGAATCTAATTGAATTATAGTGCATTTTTCTGAACAGTTTAGTTAGGTATAATTCTTCTATTATTATTCTAGCGGCTTACCAAATTAATGGATGATATCCAAAATATAGATCTGTTTGTTTTTCAACGTAAAACAATAATAAATAATGCCCTCGTGAGTGTCAAAAATTAAAATAATTGTGAGAAAACCAAATCAAATTGCGCTGTGAGAACTGTTTATATTATGGGGGAAATATGAGCTTCAGAAATAATGATTTAATCTATAACCATAGTTAGGAAAAGGCATTTATATTTGCCAACAGCTTTATAGTATAAAATATGTTATTTTATAGGTGCTTTTAATTTATATTCCATTTAAGAAATAAGCATTAGCCCCAGTTTATTTATTACACAAATATTCTTAACTTGAATTTACTAGATCAAGTCTACATTAACATTACTGTAAGGAAAATAGTATTTTGCTCATTTATTAACTTACTGGTAAAAATATGTCTGATTAAATAGAAGAATATATAATTTTATTTTATAAATCAAGTCTTCTGTAGTTTCAAATATTCGGTGGAATATTTTATAAAGTATTATTATTGTGGTTTCTGTAAACAACACCACGTTGACGCATTTTCGTCTTTGTACCATAGAGGTTCCAAATATATTTTGGCACATATGATCTAGACGAGTAATAATCTTACTTCTACCCATTTATATCTTTTAGAGCTTCCTATTGTAACGTTGTGTACCTAACGGTATTTTTGAAATATTTCGAATTAATAGGTTTTTATTGCTTGTACAATTTCATCGAAAATGCGCCAAAATGGTGCGTTGTTAAGAACCCAGTAGATATTGATTACCGATAGGTAAGTAAAATTGTTTATTTTTATATATTTTATTATAGATATGTTTCATAATATTATGTTGTTAAAAATATTGTTGTGATTTTTAAAAAGTTTTCATTATATTCTGAATATTTTTCGTAACTTTTTGTATGATTCAGTACTATGTGATTTGAGAAAAATAACAGTGATTTTGTTTTACCTATACTATATTCGAATAGTTAATTTAAAAGAGTTAGTGTTTAGACGAGCAATATTTTTGTTACTACTTAGCCGTAAGTGTAAACATGTAAGATAAATTAATGTTAGAAATAAATATCTAGTACTCAACTATGTTGTTTTTGTAACGTCCAAGAACCTTGTGAATGAACACTTACTAATAAATATTTGCCAATATTAATATAACACGATTATTTTGTGACGACACTCCGTACACGACTGACACGTACCACGCTACATAAAAACTGTATGTAAGAGCGAGAGAACAAGTAATATTAGTATTAATACTAATTGAATTCGTCATGAGTGTCGTCGCTAAATAATTACCTACAGACCCGAAGTAATTATAATCAATGCCATTGTTATTTGGTCGCGCTAGGAAACATATTTTGTACTACATTCACAGAATTCATATGTAAAACGTACAAGGAAGGATAATAAATTATCCTTATAGAATTTCCTTTCATAAGAAATCCCATACAAGCTAAAAACAAAAAAAGTCAATGCTATAATTTTGTTATAATAAACGCGCTTACAACACGAATAAGGATCACGAGTAGAATGTGAATTAACACTGTCTTTTTTACTTTTAGCTGGCAAAGATCCTGTGGCAAACAGCCAGGAGGCGCCTAACTCCCGGCCCCCAGAGCCGAGCCGGCCCCCACCGCCCGCTCGGCCCCCAGCGGCCCCTCATTACCAGCCTCCTTTACCGGCGACGCCTGCTAACTCTGGAGGCCTATTCTCCTCTATAAAAGGGGGCGCTGGCAGCTTCCTGAAGAATTTGAAGGATACCTCTTCCAAGGTTATGCAAACTGTGCAACAGTGAGTATTGTGCTGTTATTTGTTATTATATACCGACTCAGTTGTTCTTTAAGGAATGTATGTAATGTAGTGACAGAACAAATATGTTGTTGTTTCTAAAATCAGTCAAGTACTATAAACATCTCTTCGTCTTTTCCTATTGCTATATTTGTAAATAACTAACGTATTTTTGTTTCAGGTCAATAGCTAGAACAGATTTGGATATAAGTTACATAACTAGTCGTATTATAGTGATGCCTTACCCGTCTGAGGGCTTGGAGAGTGCTTACAAAACCAACCACATCGATGATGTCAGGGTAAGACTATTATTCACTCTTGATTGTTTACATAAACACGTAAATCTACAGCAATATTTACATTTTCTCTATTAAGCCAATCGCTCATGAAATAAATAAACATTTGTAAAATTATGTGCCACTGGTACATGCGTTTATTTATTTATTTATTTACTTACATTTATTTATTTATTTAAAAAAAAGCTTTATGCACACAAACAAGCACATGGGTGGACTTAATGCCGCAGGCATTTTCTACCAGTCTGACCCTTGGGTGATGCAGAGAAAGTAATCAGCGGATGCAAAACATGCGTTGAATTTAACTATTTGAAAGAACACATACATAATTCGACAATATACACAATATATCTATATTACAACATAACTTAATATATATTGAAGAATACATAACTATATAACTATAATATTCATATATGTACATATATACCTACATAAAATATAAAAGGTATAGTCAGTGTGATGAAGCAGCCAACTTCGTCAGGAGAAGCTCACAAACCTTCTGCTTGAAAGTTAAACGACTTTTCACCATCCTGATATGAAATTTACCATTACAGGATGACCCAATGCGATAAATGCGAACTATTTAATCCTGACTTATTGCTTATAACTAATTACAAACAAAGCATTCCTTGTGAATTCACTCAGAGAACAGTAACATTGGTTTTTTAGTAGAATTTTTTAACATTATATCAACAACATTGTCAAGCACTATGGTCATAGATGAACTTGTTATACAATATCAAAAATGTCTATTGTTGACAGTAATACATATAAAATTTTCACCTTCATTCTCAGGCGTACTTAGAGAGTCGTCACCCAGGCGGCAAGTACAGCATCTACAACGCTTGCCGCGGCTGTAGACTGTCGTTCCCGCGCCACGTGCCGGTGACGGACGCGGTGCGAGCTCTGTGGCCCACCCCGGCACACCGCGCCCCGCTCCTGGCGCCGTGCTACGCGCTACTGCAGCATATGTACCAGTACTTGGGGAAAGATGACCGACAGGCCGCTGTTATTACCTGCCAGGTATGTTGTTAGTGTGATGTCACTTTTATTGTCTTAGTGGTAGAGTATGTTTTTGGTTAGGCATTGAAGTTAATCTAAATAGGTACAAAATATTGTTATGTCCTTGTTACTGGACAGTGGTCTAAAACCCTCAACAAGGGAGTAACCCTTTTAGGGAATAAAAGGTGTGATCTAATTAATGGTGATACAAAAATAGATCTTTCGAACAATATGCTTTGATTTTTTTTCAGGACGGTAAACAAATGTCATGTATGCTGGTGTGTGGGTTGCTCCTGTACGCCAAGTTGGTGACGGTGCCGGAGGACGCGCTGCAGATGTTCGCAGTGAAACGCACGCCCATCAACATACCGCCCAGCCAGCTCCGATACTTGTACTATCTCTCTAATATTATTAGGTGAGTAAAGTAATATGAATATCAACATCTGTATTCTTAATGTGCAATACTGAACAGCCTTGTAGACGAAAATACCCGACGATAATGGATTTTTATGAGATAGAGGGTAATGACTATATAGATCGCCTAATGGAAAGAGCGTCGCTGACGGACTTCTGCAACATCATGTAAATACGTTGCCAACGTTTTAAAAAAGACACTATTTTCTTGATTAAGAATATTCCATGTCTTTTGCCATTAGATAGTATTACAAACATACCTGTGTGATCTATCCTTTCTAACAAAATATTTTTTTCCAGGCCTGAACCAATTCTCCCCCACTTCCGACCAGTGTCACTGGTATCACTGACAATCCAACCAGTTCCACTGTTCACTAAAGCGCGGGACGGGTGCCGACCTTACATAGAAATATATAATGAAGATAGAATGCTCCTGTCTACCCTACAAGACTACGATAGATTGCATCTTTATACCATGGCTGAGGGAAAAGTGAGTCAACATTTTTTGAAGATTTTAATTTATTGTTGTGGCGCTAGTGTAGCTTAATCTCCAATGGGATATATTATGTTAGTGTCTATTTATTATTGAATGATATAAATAATCAATATGAGGCGAAAACAACGTTTTGCAGTTTTTACAATATCTGTCGTGAGACATACTGAATTAACTAAAAATTGCTGTTTATTCACGTAAAAACTCGCGTTTACATACTGATAATCCCCTAAAAATAAAATAAAGGAGACTAAACAAAACATACTGAGAAAACCTCTAACAATTTTGCAGTTTGGTAGTTCGTTATTTTTCATTCTTCTTTTGGAAGAAAAGATCCTGTGTTCGATGCAACTCTTTTTCCACCTGGTCCAGTAAACATTTTAAAAAAATCAATAAATGAAAATGAGTAATGTGTCGCCAATGTTGACGTAATATAACTCGGCGGCAGGTGTCGCTCCCGCTGGACGTGTCGGTGGCGGGCGACGTGTCGCTGTGCGTGTTCCACGCGCGCCACCAGCTGGGCCGCGTGCAGGCCGTGCCCGTCCTCTCGCTGCACTTCCACACCGGCTTCCTGGCCGTCGACCAGCATCACATTAAGTTTAATAGGTACCTAATATTTGTTTGTTACGATCTCTGGCCACCGTAAGCGCCGGCCTGCGGACGGCGAGCATGGGTGGCTCCCCGTCCGACCAGAAACAGACCCGAGCGTACGGCGCGTCGCGTTCCGCGCGCGCCTCAAAGAGCCATCAGACCATCACAGATGGGGCCCAATAGGGCCGATGCCGATTCGGAGTCGCGGAGAACACGGGTAACCGGGACTCCGGCTCGACGTCCAGGAGAAGAAACGGGGGGGTTTTTAGTCAGTAAGAGTCTGACACTCCCTCCCGCCTCACCCAGGCGGGAGCAGTCATTCGATGATTGTCCCCCTTAAAAAAAATGTTTGTTTGTCCTTTCAGTCCGGTAGAGTTTGTAATTACAGAGCTAATTAAAAGACACAAGGAGCGCCCGAATGTAAGTCCTCCAACTAGCCTATCTAGAAGTCCTCAGGGTGGCCTATGTTCAGCAATTAACTCATTTATTATAATTGCGTGCTGATGATCTGTCAGTCTGTTACCGAATTTCCCAGTGATAGCAAGAAGTCAGAATTATCCATTTTATTACAAAGTACCTGCTCAAATCTCGGTTCAAACGTAATAAAGAAAGTAATACTCACATTTCATTTTGTCGTCTATACTCGGAATTTTAATTCGATTCCAGATTTGACAATTTCAGGGTTGCAACGTTATGACAAGTACTAAATAGTGACGTTGCGAAATTATTCGATATAGAAATGCAATATTTCTGGATCGATTCTTCTCGTTTATAATTTTACTCTCGTAAAGTAAGTATATCAGAAAATTAAATATTTTTGAACCGATAATTTAGTTTTGACGATTAATTAATGATCTGAGACTTTTTTTTATAATTGTGTGTAAAATAAATAAAAAATGTAATCATGAAGGAACATGACAAGTAAAACAGATTGATGTATTATGGTAACAAGTTATTTTATAAATTGTCGCCGTCATCGCTATCGCTATCCTGTCACTTTCTGTAACATTTATTATAAAACACACACACTGATTGTTTATCGATTTTTGTGTTCATCACTACACTATTATATGTGGTATCATTATTTCACAAAATGACAGTAGCTATTGTCAAATCTGGAATCTAATTAAAATTCTGACTATAATACAAATATTAATTTAGTTAAATTATTTCCCTCTAGGTCTGAAATCGACGGTATAGACGATTCTCTACCAGTAAACGACCACTTCTCTAACAATACTACCGCGGTTATAAGCCTGGTAGTACAGAACGGTGAGAGACGGAAGCCACGTTCAGATCTCTGGGAGGAAGACCATTCCTTCCCCATACGGACGCCTGACGTACTCTTCTCCACCACCCTCGAAAGAGACGAGACTATTGACAACTTCGGTAAGTTTTATTAAAGTTATTTTTATAGGTTCTAGCTTAATTATGCGACTTTGTACGCTATTTCAATAGCTTAAGTCATATTATGGGTTTACTTTATACTTTTCGAGGAGTCCCGACTAATTTCGAGCTTCACCGGGCCTCACAATCAGGAGTCATGCACTGCGAACGATGTCACGCAGCTACGAATTTTACGTGTCTAAGCTGTCAATATGATTATAAAGTAGATCTTATTTATGAGTGACAAGCAAAATAATAATATGTGTAAACTTCTATGAAACATATTTTTATACTTTAGTTTATGTATTCTATGTCGTATGTATTTATCTATGTACGTCAATCTTGTTTATGCAGCGAATCTTCGCAAGAATCCCGCCGCAGTACCAAAAACAAGTATGTTGTAGTGTTGTGTTTAGATCATTCATTTAGTTGGACATATTATTGTTGACATCCAACTAGCACATCATTAGTCCACGCACGAGCTGTAACATAAATCTAGATATATTGCTGAACAGACCTAACAATTTGTTCTACTTCCTAATTGTTACCATTTTTTTTGTACTGTGTGTTCGTGTTAAAATATAAAAGACCGAGCCCATACTTGCACTGGCAAATTGTAATAGGATTTTAGATAATGAAATACTAATATTAGTTTGTTTTTATATCATTTCTTGTATTTGACTACTAATGGTATATTGATAAATATTTATGTTTCTTAATGTTTTTCCACTTTCTCATTGTAGCGTGCACACCTAATTAAGCATTTTTTTTATTTGTTTGTCAGGTTTACTGCATGTATTTAACAAACTGATGTATTCATACAATATTTTACACATATTTAATTAATTATTTTTGTATCATAAGCGTTCTTTGTCAAGATATTATGGTTGTCGCTTTTTATACCTCAATTCTCCACAAAGTTTTGGTAATATGACATTTATTATCTATGTAACTAAATCCGCAAACATAAAAACACTATTTAACTTTCGTTTACGATATTAACAAATACGTGTCACCCACAGTAACAGCAGACTACCCGCCTCGGGACCCGGAGCCCCCTACTCGTCCGAGTCGTCCATCCCGCCCCGCTCCCCCCTCCCCCCTGCCACTCCGCCACCCTCCACCCAACCCCAACCTGACCCCACTCCCTCCGACAGTACAGTAGACTTCCTAAACCTAAACTCCGGCACCCCACAACCTCAAGAAACGAAACCAGAGAAGAAACTCAAGTCTGATGACTCTTTTGATTTCTTTGGGATGATGGAGAAGCAGACTGATGATGGGTTCGGAGATTTCCTCAGCGGAAACAAGGGAGAGGCAGCTCAGGTTAGTTATTATTATTTTCATTTACGAATGTGCCAGCTAATAGCTAAAATTAATAACCGACTTTAATAAAAGAACTTTGGATCGATCTGAATCCAAAATCTATTAAAATTTATTTTTGACATTAGCTCTATGAACTTTATCTATGAAATTGATCTTAATGAAGCCGTTAAATTTAATTAAACTATCAAAAGCAAATTCTAAATCAATGTTTAGTATTCTTATATATATTATTCACTCATTTACAACTTTTTAATGTCGTAGCAATTCCCAACGGAGTCCATATTCGGAGATTTGCCTGCTCCACCTCCGACGGAGCAACCTGAGGTGAAGGGTAACATGAACTCTAGTGATCCGCTCAACTTCGATCCATTCGGCCTTAACGACCCCTTGCCGAAGATAGAGACATTACTTACGCCATTGATTAAGGATGAAGGTGAGTGCAATTTGCTTTTTAACCTACCTATGGCCTTTTACATTAGAGTTTAGTATTCTAAAGCGAATGGGATAGAGATTTATATGCTACTTTTAATTTTAGTTTATTAGATTGTTGATGGTGACTGGAGGAACATTATGTTAAGTCTTTAAACTGTCAAACACCAAGCGGTCACCGGTGACCGCAACCTATTGTTCTATAATTGTGTCTATAATGACGGTACTTGACGAGTTAATAGAAAGTTCCTCCTGGGGATGTGCTAAAATTCAGATGTGCACCATCGTGGGCTGCATCATTGCTTACCGCCAGGCGATATGGTCAAAACCAGTTTAATGCAAATAATAAAAATAAATGTTTACTGGACAGAGACAGCTTTATTTCGTAATGGATGGCTTCCAATTTTTATCAGAATATTGATGACGGTTTTCGTGCTTTATTCCAGGTCGTCCTCAAAGCGTACCGTTAGAGAAAGCTCAGCCAACTACAGCTGGACAGCGTAAGGATCCGTTTGCAGAGCTAGGCGTGCTGGGCGGCGGGCTGCCGGCGCCGGTCCCGGCGGCGGCCAGCCGCGGGCCCACGCCGCGCGCCTCGCCCGCGCACACGCCCGCGCACCTCCCGCACACGCCCGCGCACCAACCGGACTACAAGTACGTTGCATCTGCACTGTGTACACTTCACACAGTTTACGTATATACATACTTATCAAAAGTATAAGTAGCAACATTTGTTCTTCTTTGAAATCTTTTAGAGATGGTTCTATTGAGATTCTTCACATAATAATCTAGCGTGGTTCTCACATTTTACTTTATGTAAAGGTCAAGAGACCTCGCGAATTTTAATTTTTTTTGAATAATTGGATAGCATCTTCCTTTATACTGCCATGTACAAGTGCGACGCGACTGGTAAGACTACTTTTAATCCTACAATCTGTATTTTGCAGTAGAGCACACTTCGAGCCAGCCAAAACGCCAGGTGACGACAAACAACGGAAACCAATGGACGTATTCGGCGATTTGCTCGGTAGCCAAGGATATGACTTTGCGTCCAAGAGAGACACCGGCCCTAAAACAATGAACGCCATGAGGAAAGAGGAAATGGTTAAGGATATGGACCCAGAGAAATTGAAAATACACGAATGGGTAAGTTTCCATTGCCGATAGATAATTTAGCAAATTGTAAAACAAACCTAAAGGTTTGTAAATGTAATGAGAAATGGTTTGTAAATATAATGAGAAATGGTACATCCTAAAGCGATCAACTGCCGAGGAACGGGGAGCTGAGTCCTCCTAATTCAAAATAACTGCTATTCCCAAAGGGCTTGGAAATTATTCTTGTGTAATGGGATTTTGGCACTATACTCGGAATTTTAATTCGATTCCAGATTTGACAATTTCAGTGTTGCAACGTTATGACAAGTACTAAACAGTGACGTTGCGAAATTATTCGATATGGAAATGCAATATTTCTGGATCGATTCTTCTCGTTTATAATTTTATTCTCATAAACTAAGTATATCATGAAATTAAATATTTCTGAACCGATAATTTAGTTTTGACGATTAATTAACGATCTGAGACTTTTCTTATAAAATTGTATGTGAAATAAATAAAAAAATGTAATCATGAAGGAACATGACAAATAAAACAGATAGATGTATTATGGTAATAAGTTATTTTATAAATTGTCGCCGTCATCGCTATCGCTATCCTGTTACTTTCTGTAACATTTATTATAAAACACACACACTGATTGATTATCGATTTTTGTGTGCATCACTACACTATTATATGTGGTATCATTATTTCACAAAATGACAGTAGCTATTGTCAAATCTGGAATCTAATTAAAATTCTGACTATAGTCGTTGATGATGATTTAAAATTCTTTGTATATTCCACAGACGGAGGGTAAGAAGGCGAACATCCGAGCTCTGCTATGTTCCCTGCACACCGTGGTGTGGGAGGATTGTCGCTGGACGCGGTGCGACATGTCGCAGCTCGTCACTCCCGCAGACGTCAAGCGAAACTATAGGAAAGCATGTCTCGCTGTACATCCTGATAAGGTAATCGTAATAAAATATTCTATCGATTTTCAACTTTATTTTAAAGTATGAAGGACCAAAATAATACTAATTTACGTTAAGCTATTGTTGTTGTCTATACACAATAAAAAAGACATCATAACATCACGCCTTTTATCCCCGAAGGGGTAGGCAGAGGTGCACATTATGCCACTGTACAATGTAACACCCACTTTTCACTATTTATGTTATGAGTCCCATGTAATAGGGGGTGAGCCTATTGCCATATACCGGGCACAATTTCAGACTCCATGCTTCTACTGAGATTTTTGAATAAAAAAGAATATTGTATTTATTCAGTCCAACCAATGGTTTGACGTGTATATAAATTTTGTTTACAGCAAATGGGTACACCAAACGAGAACATAGCGAAAATGATCTTCATGGAACTGAATAATGCTTGGAGTGATTTTGAAAATGACGCCAAACAACAGAACTTGTTCCAGTCTTAAATGTTAGTGCAGCTTACACCATTATAAACACGGAGTATTTAGTCGTAATGGAGATCTCAAACACGTGTTTGTAAATGTAATCAAGCATGTGCGAGGTGTGTTCATTCAAGAGCTCTGAACTAGTACTCCATCTGTTCACTACTCGTGTACATAGGAGACTAATTCAGTATATTAATAAAATATAATTATGTTTATTTAGTTAGACCTTGCTAATGGCGTGTATTCAGAAAGCAAGTTTGAAGTATAAGAACGCTTTACGCGAATGTCTTACCGATATTGTTTATATCGCTAAGTGTAAATTAGAATTGTGATAAATTCATTAATAGTTTATTAAATCAAGTGTTGACTTTGTGGATAATATTACATTGATGTTGGATGTAGCCCCAATTTAATGCAAGCTTTTTAGTAGATTCCTAGAATGTCGCATTTCATCAGAAAACGTGTTTACTTCTTGACACCTAATTTGAAGAAGTATCTACAGATAGTGTTGTAAAGGCTAACTGAATATATTTTTGATAATTTCAAATATAATATATATCTTGCAATACAACCACGAGAAGTACACTGCACTCTTATAATACACTAGATAAACTATTTGGCAAAGGATTCTGCTAGTCATGAAGCCTGTTCCGAGGTAAATAACCATTATAATTCTTTGGCTGATAATTGTTACTGTTGCGTGACTGTCAAAGTATACATACAAGACGAAAAAGACAGAAACAAATGCACATATACCCAGGAAAGCATAGCTTACAATTTTTCATTACATAATTAAATTATTTCTATAAAGTCATGTCTTCCGATTGCATTTTATTTAGGTGTTGTTATAAAATTATACTGTGCAATAAATATGGTCAAGTTCAAGAGATTATTATATAGAAGTGCCATTACAAAGCAACCAACATTGTACTTACTCCAGAAGTAAAGCAGTCCGATCTTAAGATAGCGAATTGTACATTATTCCATAGTGCAATAGGTAAAATATATAAGTTTATTTAGTTCTGTCGAAATTCGAATCATATGTCGATGAATATAAAGATTATTTTATGATTATAGACTCATTCATCATTAACATAATTTGTGGGCGATACTTAATAGTGTTAAATGTTGTATTTTAGTACACTCACGTACATAATATAGAACAAAATGTATTTTAGATATTAAATATCATGAGAACTTAATGTATGAAAAGAAAATCAAAGTTACGGTTTATTGTCGTTAAGAAAATTATTCTTTAACTCGAAGTTATAAACTATATTAATAATGTGCTGTCTATCGGTGTGGAGTGTAGAAATACAGCTTCTTTACGACTTCGCTTCGTTATGTTACTATTACTATATATTATTGATATTGAATTTATCTGTGAATTAGGACATTAATATGTTCGGGTGAAAATCCGTTTTCAACGATACAGATAATAAGATAAATCTTTATTTATGAAATATTATGTTATGTATATTACGCCGAACTCCTGTACTTGTTTTATTATTGTTAGTCGCATAAATACAATTCTTATGAAACCGATCACTAAGATAAAGCAATGGAAATTCGCGCAATTTTATCAATGCAACATGTTGGGTCACTGTTACCTTGAATAATGTCAAAATGTTTTATTTTTCCCTTAGGTTTCAGGATTTGGTGTTAGATGTTAATTAATTAGTTCTCTGAGAGCTTACAATAAAGTTAAGTTTATACATTCCTATTGAAATAAGTGTAGTCGGGTGACCATTATCGTAAAAATAGTTGTTGATTAAAATCTTATACTATCTCTAGACTACTCTTATGAATTATTTGAATCAGTATTTTGAACTAGTATGAGGCTTTGGTTCATCAGACATTTGAAATACCATGCAATATTTCGTTTAGGAGTCTCCATTTTTGTAATTATGTAGTTAGGCCTATATAACAGTCTTTGTTGTTACTGCAATTTGGTGTAGAGCCAGTAAATAGACGTACATGTCACCAATATCGTGTATATTTTGCTTAGATGAACGTACCTATGTCTAAATAACAAATCTGTTCTGAAAAATAAAGTAATTTGAAAATTATTATTTTGTTTCTTTCTCTACAATGCCTCATTGTGATTTGTTACCACTACTTATACGTCGTAGCTTTGGTTGACGTTAATAAAAGACGTGTTTGAAAAAAACCTTATTTATTATGATACTATCTAAGAGCTGGTCAGCTTTGTTCCAGTTTGATATCCATACAGCCATACTTCTCCAACAGCTCTTGTTTTTTCCGCCGCAATAACGCTTCTTCTATATCCTTCTGTGATGGCACTGCTACGTGTGACGTCACTACTTGTCGGACTGGCTCGCCATTCTCATCCTCTTCTTCTATTCTCTTGTCGTCCGGCTATAACAAAGAATTACAAGTCAACATTATAAACTGTTGTCAAATTAATCGAATAATTCATCATATTTTATATAATTTCTGGATAGGCCAATATTTATTAAAATTTATATAAATGACTCACATCTTCTGGATAAATGTTTTCTTCCTCGGGCATATCCTGATCTTTATTTTCCTCTTTATTTCTCTTCCACTCATCCACTGCCCTTGCTATGGCTGTTAAAAATAAGGTTAAAATGTATTATTGCCCTCTAGTTACTGGCTGCTTTAAAATACTAGTATTGCTGACTTGTAACTTAATATACTAGTTTCCGCCAGGAGGCTTCGCCCGTGTTCCCGAAATAGAATTATCTCTGTAATGTGTTGTTCCAGACTTTTTGTACACATAATCCGTCCAACAGTATTTTCGTGAGAGTAACCAACACAACACATACATCACAAACTTTTGCATTTATAAAACTAAAGGATTTTATTGACTGACCTTCTTTCTCAGCTTCTTGCTCGAGTGGCATCAAGAGACCGTCGTCGTCGTCTCTGTATCCATAGTAGTCGGCGTCCACGTCTCTCATGAGGTCCGCGCGCGTTCGTCTCGGTGGCGGAGGGGGCTCTTGTTCGAACAGCTCACGTACACCTAGTAGTTGTAGATAGTAGATAAAGGAGTTGTAGATAAACATCAAGCACAGTACTTGCATAAACATAACAACAGGTTTTCACCAACTACTCCTCAATTTTAAGGAGGCTAAGGATAGGTGACACTTAATTAACCCGTTGAAATCCATCCCCTAAATTTGGTCATACAAAAGTTGTCTCTAAACATTAGAAATAAGGTCTATAATGTTATGTAATATTAGTGGAAAGCGGTCACCGATGACCGCTTGGGGATTTATGGGTTAACTACATTTTAGTTTAGACCAACCCATAAGTGACACCTAACAGTACAAGAAAGGGGTTAGTTTAGGTGCTCCCTTACGCTAAGTAACTCTTACTTAAAAGATGATTTAGGGCTCGCTAGTGAAACCATACCATATGTCTGATGCCTGATGGGTTCGGCAAAGGTGCACATAAAATATGCAAACCAATTAAGCAACACGAAAGAAAAAAGTCAAAGAGAGTAATTAGATACTTCAGAATAAAAACGTAACACAAACCTGGTAGATCTTTAGCGGCTCCGAAGTACTTGTAGCCTCGGTTGCCGGGTACCTCTTTACCGTCTTGGTCAAGCATTTTTGGTCCAACGCGAGCATGGTCTGGCCCGCCCAACGACTTTATTTGCACTTCCCAGTGACGTTTCTCTCGCATGAGCTTGTTGATCTCATCATTCAAGTCTCGTATCCGAAACTCACCAAGACCAGCTACAACGGAAAATTGTTTTAGTAAAAAATCGATAATTATTTAACCTACATTATATGTATATCGCATTACCGAGCATCACATCGCAAGTTCGAATTTCACACGGAATAATTGTTTGTGTGATTCACAAAGATTGATTCAACACATAAAGAAAATACTAGTGTGGAGCCATAAGCCAATTACCATGAGTTGAAGTAAACAGAATCTACACATACAAAATTCTGTATAGTAATATTTTTAGAAATATTTATAATTATGAGAAATCATACATATGTACATACATGACTTCACGCCTGTCTCACATGGGGGTAGGCAGAGACTAGGGAACGCCAATTACTACGATTCTTACATACCTCTTTCGCTAAGTTTTCACATAGTGAACAATATTTATTTATTTATTTATTTAAGCTTCATGCACAATGTGTACATTAGGTGGACTTAATGCCGCAGGCATTTTCTCCCAGTCTGACCTTTGGGTGATGCAGAGAAGTCAATGGTGTGAGCAAGAAGCAAGCAACGATTTAATTGAGCAATCAAAATAGATACACTTACATATTTCAGAGATAAACACAAATAAACATAATTATAATATATATACCTACACACGAGCACAAGACAATAACCATACATGCATTCATACATATACATACATACATACATACTTATTTTTATATTTATTTATTTTTTTGTAACACCATTATGTATATAAGGTGCTCTATAATTATCTGCCACGGCTTTAATGGGAGGTAGTGTTATGTTTACAGATTACAATTGTGAAGAAATTTCGTACCCCGGACCAGTTAATTACATAAAGTAATTAAGTAAACATTGACTACATTCTGCATAATGTAGTTCACAAATTACGCGCGATGCGTCGCTTAGTCAATGAAAACAATTGCTATCTCTTTCCACGTGCACTGAGAATGAAAACGGAAATCAGCTGACTAGTTCGTCACTATCTAATCTACTAGATACTCAATAGGCAGGCTAACAAGGGTTTTAAAAGTGCAATTACTTACCAGGTACGGCATTCTTCCGAAAAGCTGTTGTAGGTAAATAAGATTATAAACTTCCCATCACACTTAAAACAGTTTTTTACACACTTTTACAGTTATTTACACACTCTCTACCTACTTATCTACAAAACTGTTGCACAAG